AGAAATTAAACCATGTAGAACAGTATTCAAGATTGCTTTTTACTGGGTCTGGCTAGGATAGAATAATAGAATCACATATACATTTGGTTTGGGAAAGACCTTTAAGATCATCAAGTCTAACTGTTATGCTAACACTGCCAAGTTCAGCACTAGTCCCTGAGCACCACATCTACATATCTTTTAAATACCTCCAGGGATGGTCACTCCACCACTTTCATGGGCAGCTTGTTCCAGTGCTTGATAACCCTTTCAGTGAAGAATTTTTTCCCTAATATCCTATCTAAACCTCCCCTGGCCATTTTCTCTTATTCTATCACTTGTTACTAGGGAGAAGAGACAAACCCCACCTTGCCACAACCTCCTTTCAGGTAGTTGTAGAGAGCAATAAGGTCTCCCCTCAGCCTCCTTTTCTCCAGACTACACCACCCCAGTTCCCTCAAACACCCCCATAAGACTTTTTCTCCAAACTCAATACCAGCTTCATTGTTCTTCTTTGGACAGCCTCCAGAAGCTCGGTGTCTCTGCAGTTAACGTTTCTCAAAAGCAGCCTGTATGGTGCTATGCCTCTCACTGGTGGCTAAAAAAGCATTGCAAAAGAGAAAAGCTATGTTTTGGCTACTGCTGAGCAGTACATGCACAGCACCAAGCCCTTCTCTCCAGCACCCCATCACCAAACTCAAAAGGTCTGTAGGCTGGAGATAGTCAAGAGTTAGGGAGGGGATGTAGCTGGGATAGCTGACCCAGACTTATCAAAAGGATATCCCATACTATTTAATGTCATGCTCAGCAATAAAAGCTGTGGGAAAGCGGGAGGACTGGGGGATATTCTTGGTTATGTAATTTGTTTCCCCAAGCAACCACTATGCACAATGTGGCCCTACTTCCCAGGATGTGGCTGGACATCTGCCTGCTCATGAGAAGTAGTGATTAATTCCTCTTTTTTACTTTGCTTCAGTGTGCAGCTTTTGCTGTTCTTAATAATTATATTTATTTCAACCCATGAGCTTTTCCATCTCATTTTCTGCCCCAGTCCTATTCAGGAGGGAGAGTGAGAGAACGGCTGGGTAAGCATCTGGCAACCAGTCAAGGTCAACCCACCACTGGGTTCTGGACAAGTATTAATTTTCCTGACTGATTCTCTCCATTTTAGTTACCATTGAGCACAAAGAAAACAGACGATGTAAACTTCAAAGGCATTTTCATATGAGAATTGTCAATTTGGTTCAATACTGCCAACCTCAAACAGTCAATAATCGTCAGTCCTGATTAAAAAGAACAAAACCACTTAGGGTCTTACCTTTTAAGTCTTGGCATTTGAGCCCATAAGGATGTAGTTTTCTGATGACTATATTCAAGTTCAAGCCTCTGTCACACTATT